ATTTTAATTTTTTTATGTGTAAAAAAAATAATTTTTTTGATTTTCAATCAATATGTTTACTGTACTCAAAATAACTACATGTAACTGTAGTAACTATAGTAATGCGTAGTTATGTTCTTTTTCTTTTCCCCATATTTCTAGTCGATCAATTATATACACACACGAATATTGGCTTATACAAAAGAAATTCATAAATCCCAACAACAAAAATTTACAAATTTCAATATTTATATTATAAATCACCTCAGAACCAATAAAATACAAATATATGCATATGTAACTGCATGTTACTATAGTAATGTATAGTAATGTACAGTAATGTATACAGTCTGTTGAACAACGCAGATGTAACTTCAAACAAAAATTTGAACACCTTCAAGGAAAGGATCAATGGTCTTCATTAAGCAGCAATTGAAAAATCAAAACAAAAAAAATATTTTAGTGCAAATGAACAAAAAATAAAGAAACATCCTCAAAAAACAACAAACAGTAAGAGATCGAGAGAAATAAATCTGAAAATATAAAAATTAAAATTTAAAAATAAAATAAAATATAAAAATATAGAAATAAATCTGAAAATATAAAAATGAATGAAATTGACATCAAAATATAGATCCCGACAAGAGGAATCCAACGGTGAGTAGCCCGTCAAATTCCGACTGACGAAAACCAAATTTCACTTCTGGTAAGACCACCATCGTCTAAATACGCCGACTAAAAAAAATTGCAGAAACAGATCTAGCACTCAAAACTGAATGAAATACCCACCAAAAGAAAGAGCTCGACGAGAGAAATCCAACGATAGTTGAACCATCGAATTCCGACCACCGGAGAGAGAGTTACGACCATGAGAATCAAAATCGCCGGTTAGAGACCTTGGGGGGCGGGATTTGGATCTGAGAATTGAGAGAGGAAGATAAAGACCGATATGGGTTGGGTTAGGGTTTAAAACTGATTTAAAAAGGTATTCTGGGTACTTCAGGGTGGGCTAGGGGAGTATGTTAAATTATTATCTAAATGAAAGGGTCTCTAAAATAATCCATATATATATATATATATATATATATATGCCACACTAGCAAATTAAAGCTTTACCAAAATTAGCAAAAGATTAAAATCAAAACAAAAGGATAATCTTATTTGGGGTTTTTGTGCATAAGTTTCTAACCAATTATCTTTATTATTCTAGGTTTAGGGGTTATATTTATTTCACCAATATGCCAATCGCTTTAATATTTATTATAAATAAAGGAAAAATTTATGTATATAACAAAATTACCCCCAACCCTTTACACACAATTCTTAATTGTAACCCCAATTTAATCAATTTTGACCACAAAAATCCAATTTTCATTTTCTATTTTCAAAAACTTTTTATGTTCAAAAAATAAATTTTGCCGCCGGATTCCGGCGTTGACTTTTTTTGTTGTTTTTCTTTTGGTCTGTTTTTTCCGCCGCTGGATCCCGACGTTGGCTTTTATTCTTTTTGTTTGATATGTTGACAAGTCAACGTAATTATATTACTGTCGTTGACAGTAAACTAACTGTAAACACAATAATATTACTGTCAACCACATTAATATTATTAATTTTTTGGGTTTTTTTGTTTTGTTCGAGTTATTCACGGAGTAACGTAATAATATTATTGTAATATTACTATGGTTGACGGTAATATTACTGTTGTTATAATAATATTACTGTCAACTACATCAATATTATTATTTTTTTGGGTTTTTTTGTTTTGTTTGAGTTATTCACGGAGTAACGTAGTAATATTACTGTCTATTATTGTGGTTGACGGTAATATTATTGTTGTTATAGTAATATTATTGTCACTCACCGTAATATTAATTGTTTTGGCTTTTTATTATGTTTACATTTGTTGAACGATCAACTTATTACTATTACTCTATTACACAATAATAATGAGTTTTGTTGTGTTAATATTACTGTGCTAGATATTAATATAGCAATATTACTGTGTTAAACTGTAGTATAGTTAATTTTATTATGTTTAACAGTAATATAGTTAGTATTACTGTCAATCACAGCTAGCAATATTGTTGCATAAACGTGGAAAAAAGATGTTTAAGAAGAAAAAAAAGTCAACGCCGGAGACCGGCGTTGACCGCGGTCAACAACGGAAACCGGCGGAAAAATCAGGAAGAGGGGGAAAAAAATCAACACCGGAGATCGGCGGTCAACGGCGCTGACGGACGAAATTGTCCATAAAAATGTGTTTTGGGTCAAAATTCAATAATTTATGAAATTTGGGGTCAAATTGAGGTTAGAATTAAATTAAATGATGAAATTGGAGGATATTAAAGTATGAGGGGTTATTTTAGTCTTTTACAAATCTATGGACCATGTGTGATTTTTTTTTTAAAAGCGTATATTGTCTGGATCTCTTTATGAGTAACTGAGTAAGTACACATTGATGGGCTTATTTGTAAAATACCCATCTTATTTTGCATATATTAATTGTAAAACTTGATGAATAAATGGGTAAATTCCACTTTCCCCCTTTATTTTGGTTTGATATCACTTTACCGCCTTCTACTCTCGATTGCATCGATTTGCCCCTACGCACTTGAAAAATTGTCTCAATGTGGCCCTCGCTGTTAGTTGTTAGACATTTGACTTTAACACCGTTTGATCTATTCTTTGAAATTACAAAAACGGCATCTCTCCCAATTTAAATAATTATTAAAAAAAATAATAATAATAATAAAATAATAAAAAAAATCAAGGCAACGAGAACATAGTCCACGACGCCACTCACATTTTATTTTTAATGTATATGTGCCCCCTCGCGATGAAATTCTAGCTTCAAAACTGATCCTCAAATTTTACGTTCGATTTACTCCCCACTTTTCTTTTGAGAAAAAATCCATTTTAAGGCTAATTTTCTTTTCCACTTTTTCCTCGAGAATACTTTACCTAATATTTATATTGCCACCAAACATGAAAATCAATCACCTAATATTTTCCCCTTTTTACTTACTATTTTCCTGTGTCCAACTCCGTAGAAGGAAAATGAAAGAACAAGAATATCTACGATGTGGATGTTCATGTAATTACACATAATACTTTTTTGTCATAATTCGGCATTACTTGGGAGGTTGTATAAAGAGGATGGGTGTTAAGTGTATATTTATACACTTAATTGTACCTTTTAATTGGAGCTTTTGGTGTGTTTTAATGATAATTGGTGCTTAAAATGGTTGTTATTTGTATTTTAGGTGCAAATTGAAGACTTGGCAACTTTTGGGGTGAAAACTGCAAATTCGGAGAAAAAGTGGGCCAAAAGTGAAAAAACCAGAATTCTGGAGAATTAGGACCGGACGGCCGTCCGAATTTTAAAGCTTAATCTCACACGGCCGTCCGGATGGGCGTCGGGGCGCAGTGAAGGAAGTTTAATTACACAAGGAAACCCGCCCTATTATATTTTTGCACCATATTTAAAGGCCATGAGCACACAATTAGATTTATCTTGGATCTTTTACCTTTTATCTTTATTTTTAGTTTTTATTCTTTCATCTTTCTACACGCGGGCAATTTACAAGAACGAAGACGAAGACTTGACGAATCTTCATCCTAGTTTTCCTTTTATTTTTATTTCTCGACTTTTATGAATTTTCATATTTTTATTATGCTTTTCGTTACGAACATGAGTAGCTAAGTTTTATTCTAGGATTTTATTGGAACCCTATGTGGTAACTCGAACCTATTTTTCTACTTTTATGCAAGTTTAATTCTTCGATTATTTCTTCTATCTTGATCGTATTTAGTGCATGAGCGTAGCTAACTTATGTTGCTATTAGTTATTGTTAGAATTGATTGACAGATCGTTTTAATAATTAGAACAGGGATAGAAGAGCCTTCGAGTAGTTTTTCACCGAATGCGTGTGTTGATTGCATGTATTATCGTAGACATACAGATAATACCTTAGGTAGCCGTTGTCGAGACTTGTTATTTAATGCTTTATTTATACTAGGTTTGCATAGACATATAGTGAATCTTTTATGAATAATAGGCTTATAGCACAACGACAGCTGGTTATGAGTAATTTCGTGTCTTGGGTTAATAATCGGGAATCGTAACTTGCATGATAGAAGATTAATTGGGTGAAGAATTATCGCATATGGGGAAGATAAAATCCTAGATCCGTTTTATCTTGATATTCTCTCGTGTTTAATTGCTTTCTTAATTAGTTTAATTTATTTAGTTAATTAATTTGACAAACTTGCGTAGGCTGGATAAAAATCGTAATTGTTAAAATTTGGTACTTAGGATTAAATAATTTGCGTATTCCCTGTGGGATCGACATCCGACTCTCACGAGTCTACTTTACTACTTGTTTGCGATACGTGCACTTGCGTGTGGGTATTTAGCACCCAACAATGGGACAATTGCATTTCTGCAAACAACCTATTAAAGCAAACTACAATCATAGTAACATACATCCATCCGCTAATAATCGTATAAGAGGACCGAACAGCACCGTACCTGGGGGAGCACGATAGCTTAGAAACACGACCATGGCGACTTTAAAATAAGAAGATAGGACAAAATACGTGGCAATCCCAAACAGTGCTATTATTACTCAGACGAGATACAAATACCCGACACAGCATAATTACAGATCAGATTAGAAAACACGATTTCACTTTATATATGTATATATTTATATATATATATATATATATATATATATATATATATATATGAAGAAACTCGCAAGCCAACCGTATAGGTGCACTGGGTAAACGTATACTCTCGTATAATAGCTTGTAACCTAACGACCGTTGGCAAGAGGACTTGAACTTGGGTCAGTTGACACATAACCACTTTCTCCAACCGCTAGATCATCCCTTGCGGGACAAGAATGTAATTCATTTGTTGGTTGAATAGTGGATTAGGATTGAATAAAAATAATTTCTAAAGTCAATGCTAATTACATAGCCTAGAGAGAGGAGTGATTCAACTCCCAGCTTGTGAAGAATTAATCTCATAATTAGTTGGCATTCACATACTTTATATCCAATTTGCTTAGGGTTAATAGCATTTTGCCACCTGTATTTTGCCCGTTTTTGCGCTTTGCCACCTTAATTAAAAAAAGTTGTACGGGCACACCCAAACTCGTTTTTTTGACGCACATAACCACCTAAGGGGAATATTCTAGCGAATATTCTCATTTTTCCGGCACACGTGCGATGCACATGCTTAATGTGAGGATTTTAATTAGTCTTTTAATCTGAAGATATCATGTGGGGTTAAAATTGAAAGTTCCAAAGGATGAAATTGAAAGATTGAAAGTTCCAAGGGGTGAAATTGAAATATATTAAACTCTCATTTCTTCTTGTTCTTTGAACTAACAACTTTTGAAAAAATCCAAGAAAAAAAAATAAGGGGTTATCATCTCTCGTCAATTTAATCAAAGATCTCAATTTGGAACTTTCCTTGATGTTCCTCGTGATCGTCATCAACATATTCAGTCCAATTGTTTCTCTTAGTCTTGTTCGTTAGGTCTTGGATTGGAGAATTGTTGGAGGTACGTTCATCGGGGAGATGGAAGTGGTTTTGATTAGAGAATTAGCGAGACATGTTCAAAAGTCTGGACGAATTTGCGTACGGCCATGGATGATTGGGCAAAAATCTTCCTCACAAATTCCTCCTAGTTGCACACCACGCGACTCCGTCTGCTCTTCTTCTACTGCATCCCAATTTTGTTTTCATAGTTTAATTTTCTCACACAGACATATATCTACAGTGCAATTGATTTCAACATTTACTGTAAACCACAAAATCATATTGAGAATTAGAAAGAAAGAGAGAGAATTGCCTGCATAGTGGAGCATTCGAAGTATTGAAAAGGGTTTCTTTGAAAAATATTAATGGGGAGAAACTCCTATAGAAGAAGAAGACCCACTCCCATGGAAGAAGCAGACACACAACTTTATTTCAATTAATTTAGAATTTGGGCAAGTTTCATACAAAGTTCAATTGAGTCCTTACAATTTTCAGTTTTACCCCACATGATATCTTCAGATTAAAAGACTAAAAAACCCATGTATTTAGTCATGTGCATCGCGCATGTGACGGAATCTTTCAAGATTCGCCGGAATATTCCCCCTAGGTGGTTATGTGCGTCAAAAAAACAAGTTTGGGTGTGCCCGTGCAACTTTTTTTAGTTAAGGTGGCAAAGTACAAAAACGGGCAAAGTACAGGTGGCAAAATGCTATTAACCCATTTGCTTAACATTGTTTGACAAAAGAATAATAATAATTAAAAAACAAAATTTTAACTAGTATAAATAAAATTTTGATCCCCAACAAAACACATTCATCTTGAACCCGAAAAACCATGAGAGGAGTAGAAATGGAGTTCATGCATTTCAGCCACAATCACGGCCTGGTTTACCACCAGGCTATTCAAGGATATGAATTTCATTGCTCCGGCTGCAAATCTGCCGGCTCAGGCGATGTCTACGTTTGCTGGCAGTGCAATTACTTCCTCCACGAACACTGTTTTCGTTCCGAACGGTCTCTTAAGCACCCTTATCACCCCCTTCATCCTCTTACTTTGATGCCTTCTCCTACTTACCCCTCCGGTTCTTTTTCCTGCAATTCGTGCAGTCTTGATGGAGATGGATTCTCCTACAGTTGTTCCGAATGTGAATTTGATATTCATGTTCATTGTGCCCTTAATATTACTATTCCTAATCCTAATCCAAATTTATTACCTTCCGTTGTTCCTAATCCTTATCCTGCGCAGAATAATAATCCCGTCAATCCTCCTCGTCCAATCCAATCTAATGCTTATCCAACTTATCCTCCTCAAAACACTGGTTATTCCCCGAACCCAAACCACCCTTATCCCAATTTCACCACTCCTAATCACATTGCACCACCAATTCCAATTCAACAAAATCGACCCTATCAGAAACGTAGCGGCGATGGTGCAAAAAGTGACGTAGGACAGATCACGGAAGCTGCTGATTGGGTCGACGCCGCTACTGCTGAGGCTTTGTTGAGGGCAAGAGGCAGAATAGGGGCAATGGCACTTATTTGATCTTCTTTATTTATGATTATTTATTTTTCTTTCGATGTGAAATTTCATGTTGTTTTATTTCTTTCAGTATCGTTTTAAGGGTTTTTTTTTTCTTTCAGTTCCGTTGTGCGGTTACAAGAAATAAAACGTGATGACGATTTGTTGTTTCATTTGATTTCTTATTTCTTGAATGTATGTAATGAAAAATTTAAATGATTATCGTAACATGTTGTCTGATGATTTTATCAGGATTTTCGAGTTTCGTCTAAATTTATTTTACAACAAAGTATTGATGACTAAAAATTTAAAACTTCAACATTTAATGCTTTTATGCTTAACATTTGGTCTATAGTTAATTAACTTACTTTCAGTACTGGAACCTTGGTACGGTTTGCCATGTTATCGAAATTAAAAATATACGAGAGTGTAGGTTTACCCAATACCACTTATATGATTGGATGCATGTTCCTTCATTAATAATTAAAAATATAAAATAAAGAGCCATGCCCCTCAAGGGATGACATATAATTGGAGGCTGATTTTTTTGTATTAGTTAGGGGTGAAAATCGGACGGGTGTATCAACAATGATTTATTCGGAAATTTTTCATTTTTTTCGGAAGTTAGAAATGCGTTCCAATTTCCGTTCCAAAGAAATCGGAATTCTAAAATACATTCCGATTCCTGAATGCTTAGGAATCGCCGGGATTTCGAAACTTGCATTGATTCAAAATTATAGAAAGTTGGGCTCTGAAAGAATTTATGGTCCCGAATTCGTTTAATACAGAGATGTTGTCTTAAGTGTTATGACACTTAAATAAACATGCAGCGGAAAAATAACTATATAAAGACAATACTCAGATATTAAAATGTTCACAAGTAAATACTTGTGAACTTGCCCTTTACAGGACGGAAAAATATATTAAAATCAGTATTCCAAGAATACAAACAGAAGAGGTGCGAAAACTTCTTCCTTATGAATGAATCATTCTCATGACCATTCTTACATTCAAATCTAGATACAAAAAGAAAAATATTAAAAATTCTAGATTTCAAAGATGTACTCGTGAGGAGTACGTAAAGAACTTATGAATGAATCACTATCTTGATCATTCTTACAACCAAGTCTAGAAACATATATACTAAACAATCTTGACTACAAAGAATGTACTCATGAGAAGTACGTAAAGAATGTACTCATGAAGAGTACGTAAAGAATGTACTCATGAGGAGTACAAACGACCGATTCTAAAACCACTCTAAAACACTCATGTATTCTTTTCAGCTCTCGGTTTTTTATTTCGTAGAATTGATAAATTTCATTGAGTATTGAAATCGGTATTTATAGACATTTCAAGCTTCCACTCCTCAGCCCATGATCTGCAAGAAAACCAACCACAAGAGCACTCAAGAAAATGGGTTAGTGGGTTAGTTCAAAACTAAGGCCAAATAGCAAATAATCAAATTCCACTTTCTCCTACTGAGATTTTAAAGATGAAAACATTTTTCATGTCGAAATTTTAAGAAATTGCAGATTAGTCCTAAAGATTCATAGATCTACACATGCAACCCCAAAAATCTTGAAAACTCATTTTCTTTTCCCAAAATTCCAAAAATTCGAAATATGAAACCTTTAAACACAAAATGATTAGAATCACAGATTATAACATGGATTAGACATGCAAGAACACAAATAACAAGATTAACACAAGATTTCGGATTTTACACAAAAAGCCCTAATATTTTCGAAAAGTGAGGAAATCTTTTAGGTAGTTTCAAAAATTCTTTTCCATACTATGATACCCTTCGATTGCAGCAAGAAATTCGAGATTTCTTACCTATCAAGAGTGTTTGGCCGAAGAAAGAAAAAACCTTCAAAAGAAAAGAGGGTTTTTAGAGAGAGAAAGGAGGATGAAGAAAATGAAGAACACAAGGATACAATGTTACCTCCTTCAAGAAGTGGCTCCAAGATTGAACCAAGCTAGTTGAATGGAGAAGGTAAGAGCTTTGATATCAAGTTGGGAGGAGTTTAATTCTCCCGTAAGAGGGCAAGTGTTTTTGATGGTGTTCTTGGCATATTCAAGGGTGAAGCTTATATAGGGAAATATAAAAACCGATTTATTTCCGATTTATCACCGATTAATCACCGCCGCACCGATTAATCGTGAGTCGGTGCCTGACCGCCTCCGACACGATTACCGCTTTTTACAACCTTGCATACAACGACATGTGGGTTGAAATTAAATATGCACTAATTACTTGTTTTTAGGAAGTTTACGATAACGAATTACTTTAATATTATTACTTCATTGTTATATAAAGGGAAAATTATAGTTTTGGTCTTCTATGTTGGCCTATTTAAGAATTTGGTCTTCCAATGTCATGTTTCAGTTTTACATGCAATAACTTTGCAAATATAGTATTTTTTTAGTCCTATTTTGCATGATTTTTAATTTTATGACGCGATAAATAAACTTGACACATTTTACTTACGTAGACACTTGGAAACTAATAAATTAGACATCTAAGTTACCATTTGTAGAATTTTAATTATGTGAGACGACACATCTATAAACCAAGTTAGAGGAGCATTTATAATTTTTAAGTGTCCATATAAATAAGTTTCTGCGAGTTTGTTAGGTACATTATTAAGCGACGGCTAAAATTCAAAGTTCGAGTGAAATAGGACTAAAAATACTAATTTTGTATAGTTATTGCATGTAAAATTGAAGTACGACAACTTATAGGACTAAATCCCTAAAGAGGCCAACATATAGGACCAAAACTACAATATTCCCTTATATTAAACAATTGTACATCTAACAAGATTACTGTACGTATATTTAATTTTTTTTGTAATATTATATTACTAAAGAAACCTCTAAAATGCCCAACTATAAGATTATTTTCTTCTTGGTGCAAACTGCAAACCTTGTAGATTCAACCAATTAATTTATATCAACTTATTAACTAAGGGTCCATTTGGATGGAGGGATTTGGGGAGGGATTTGATTTGGGGAATGGATTTGAAATGACTCCAATTTTGGAGTCATTTGAAATCCATCACTATTGCTCCAAAATCAACTAAAAAGGAGGGGTGGGGATTTCAAATCCATCTCCAAATCCCTCAATCCAAACAAGTCCGAGGGATTTGTTATTATGGATTTGAAATCCCTCTCCCAAATCCCTCCATCCAAATGCACCCTAATTGAATTATTATATATCATATAAATATATAAAAAAATTATACAACATTAATAATATAAAATGCATCATTTTTTATTCCCGCCTAGGGCCTTTTAAATCCTAAGACCAGCCTGACATAAACCATACGAGAGATATAACTTATCCTGAAAAAATCATATTCGATGAAGCCGACCTATAAAATGTTAGTGTGGATAGGGTGATACTCGAGTCCGTCAACTATAAATATTAAGATATATATTGATCAAAGCATGTTACCAGAAGAATCGCGCACCAAGTGAAGCTTATTGTTAGCACATGATGGCTTTGTACAACCTACCTCTGATGAAATACACCATGTGTTTTTAAATCATAAATCTACACATAATAATACACACTCGTGTGTATGTGTACTTAGTGAATAGTTATTTATATAGATCTACAATTTTTAAACCACATTGAATATTTCACGAGTAGGATCTCAAAAGCCGAATATGATATATCTTGCGAAAAACCAAATGGTATGATTAACTTTCAATTACTTTAATTAATTTATTCTTTTTTTTTTTTTGAATAATTATTTTAATTGACTTGAAAATGGTTGGACTTTGGCAAGTCAGTCAACTCTACCCTTAATTTTCGTGTAAACGCGCATAGAGAATGTCAACTGTGTGCTGGCACGAACCTGCCAAGTTGATGGCCATTCGGTTGACTTTTGATTCAAAGAATCTCACCCATCTCATCTCTATGGCATTTTTTGTATCTATATAATGAACTTATGAAGTGGAACAAATAAATTATCTTAAAAACAGAAAAAATAGTGGAAACAAACAATAGAACTTAAAATGTTTACAAGATTATGTGGCTAAAATGCAATATTTTCTAACAATTTTAAGAGTTTATATATGTTTAATTACATTCATGTTAGATTGAGAGTTTGTTAATTAAATCATCCATGTGGCATAATATGATTGGAATCCGATTATTGTACATAATCGGCTCATTCGGTGAGAATTTAAACTCAATTAAAAATTGTGTTCCAAATAATTGTTGATAACAATACAACTATGATTCAAAACATATATATACGATACACGCACTCATAATTTTTTAAATGTGTGTTATAGAAAACTTTTATACGAGAGTATAGGTTTACCCAGTCCACCTATATAATTAGCTGAGGGTTCCTTCATTATAAAAAAAAATGTGTGTTATACATGTATCACCAACTAAATATTATTTTGTTGCCATTTTAAAGGTCCTCTGATTTTTTCTTTATTGCATTATCTGAGTTCATCGAGGAATATATAGTCTTCTCACTCCAAAGATACAAATTTTATTTCTGCATGCAGAAATAACAAACCAAATGAAAAATCACTTATAACTTCAGAAAACAAACAGTAAAACGGAGACGACGACCCCTCGAGAAATCAACGGGAAGCGGTCGAATTACATTATTAAACAATCAATATTAACCCGAAAACACGCACGGGGTCGAAAACACACAAACACACATGCGCACACAACAAGATCAATTGATCAATATGAATTCATCAAGCATTAGTATCGAAACATGTTTGCCATAAACGTTGCGTTATTTTTAGACATTTGCAGTTGAAACTGAAGTAACGCCATCTGATTTTGTGCCTTGATATTCATAATCATTAATTTCTCTGCATCAGTTGCCCCCTCCGGGAATTCATATGCATCCTCCTCCTCATTTTTCTCTTCTTCTTTCGCAGGTGGACCATCAGCAGTAAAAGCACACTGTAAATCTGTAACAAAATTACAGTCTTTGCAGAAGTAAGACCAATACCCTTCCGTTATTCCACTCTCGCACACATCACACATCACAACACTACCATAAAAACGACCATCGGTAGGCTTCGGTGTGTCATGGCGAACGGCAAGTGTGTGCTCGTGCGCTTTGGAATCCACCGTTTCGGGCAAGAAAGCGCATTTCACATGGAGCCTGAAATTATTGTCGCATTCACCGCAGGCGAATGAAAAGTCGTCGATTAGTTCTCCGCATGCGTTGCAGTTGTAGTAAAGACTGTACTCTGGTGGCTCCGACAGGAGAGTGAGTTTGTGGTTAGGGTGGGACTTGTGTTGGAGTTCTTTCGGTAATTCGGAAGAAGACTTGTCCGTCGGTACTGTAGGCTGTGGGGGAGGCAATGGATCAGCATCGGGATTTGCTGGAGGAGGAACGTAATTGTACGGCGGTACAATATTTGGTTGGGGGTCAGCAGGAATTGGATTGTTGTTCTGATTGGGTGGATATGCAGGATTTTGAGTAATTGGAATTGGTGGTGTAATTGGATTAGGAGGGGTGAAATTGGGATAAGGGCTGTTTGGATTAGGGGGATAAACAGTGTTTTGAGGAGGATAAGTTGGATAAGCATTAGATTGGATTGGAGGAGGATAGATATTGGGATTATAATTCTGCGCAGGATTAGAATTAGGATTAGGATTAGGAACAGGGGAATGGAATAAATGTGGATTGGGATTAGTAATGGGAATATTAAGGGCACAATGAACATGAATATCGAATTCACATTCGGAACAACTGTAGGAGAATCCATCTCCATCAAGGTTGCACGAATTGCAGGAAAAAGAACCGGAGGGGTAAGTAGGAAAAGGCATCAAAGTAAGAGGATGAAGGTGGTGAGACGGGTGCTTGAGAGACCGTTCAGAACGAAAACAGTGTTCGTGGAGGAAGTAATTGCACTGCCAGCAAACGTAGACGTTGCCTGAGCCGGCAGATTTGCAGCCGGAGCAATGAATTTCAGATCCTTGGACAACCTGATGGAAAACCATGCCGTGTTTGTGGCTGAAATGCCTGGACTCCATTTCTCTCTTATTTGTTTTCTTTTTTTTTTTGTTTATCTCTCTATAATAAAAGGGTACAAGATGAATCTGTGCTTGATATATATATACAGTTTTTGATACCATGATGGCCCCAACATGGGTCCGAAACAAATTAAATTAGCAAGTGGCAACTCTTAAACTAATGGTTACTGCACAATTATGGTTTAATTTATTTGGTTTATTTAACAATTATTTTCATTAGAAAACTAAAGAAACATAATAATTAAGTTAAATGACAAATATGTGTATGAAAAGAACACTTAATTAAGATAGGGATATCTAACTTCTTTTGTCTTGTAAATAAATTCACCTCATTCAAACTTATTTGCAAATAAGAATTTTTTTTATATATATACTAAAATTATCCCCAACTCTTTGAAACCCTAATTCAACTCCAATTTTATGATTTACTCCTCAATTTAGTTCAATTCCACCAATTAACTAATTTTGACTCTTATTCCAATTTTGACCGCCCCGCCAAAGATTGTCGATCAGGCGTTGTTGACAGCCGGTTTCCGACAATGACTTTTCGTTTTAGCTCTTTTTTTTTTTTTTTGATTTTTTTCTTGTTTCGATATTTTTTCCCGGCAGGTCAACAGTTGTTGACCGCCGCCGTTCTCTGGCATTAAATTTTTTTTCTTTTGAATTTTTATTTTCTTAAAAAAAATATTTTAATGAATATTACTGTCTTGACAGTAATACTAATATTACTGTCTCAGAGAGTAATTTTACTGTATTAATTGATTTTATCGTCTGGGCCTGCAATTTTGTTGTCTTCGACCATAATATGATTGTCTCGTGCAATAATATTACTGTTTGGGACAATAATATTACTATTTTGGCATTCAATATTACTGTCTCACACAAAAAAAATTGTTGTTAACACAGTAACTTAGAGAGAAAAACAAAGTTAAAAAAAAAAAAACCAACGTCGGACTCTAGCCGGAAGAAAATTATTTTCTATAACGAAAAATATTTTTTCAAAAAATTATGAAAATGAGGGTTAATGTGATATATTTATTCAAATCCTAGGTCAATGTGCAATATTGATGAAGTTCGAGTATAATGGATGGAATTAATTATAATTATATTATGAGCGGTATTTTAGACAAAAGACGTGAAAATGAGGTTATTTACAAGATTGTATTTTATCTGGATCTATGTGCATTTAAGTCCATGACATGCCTATTTGCCATTCGCCCAATAATTAAATCAAAGTTTTTATAGACGATTGATTCAATTATGTAATATACAAAATTTCTCTCTCTTCCATTTTAACAATTGTCTTGAATATCTTGTACATTTCGTCCTCTCACAAGACTTGGAGCAACCATTGCAGTTGAGTTTTTTTTATTTATCAAACCCTCCTTCCAGATTGCAATAAAAAATAAATAAACATCCTTTATTCAAATTACAAAATACTGTTTTTTACATATTGTTTTTAGCACATATAATTAAAAGTAGATTCAAACAAAGTAACAAACTAATGCCCATAATTTGACGGAGTATTTTGAAGGCCAACAATTACTTTGGTGTTTCGTTGGACAATTTTGGAGCTTCACATTTCACGAGGAGACACACGCAGTTATAATAATCGGGTGTAGCATCGAGGAAGCCGGACAATATAATGACCCCGTCCGCCCCGGTTTATATTGTTACCTATTGATGAATAGTAGATTTTTTTTTTTGAGTAAAGATTAATAGTAGATTTTTATTAATGCAAATTTTGGATAAATTATCTCTCGTGTAATAGTTCACAAACCATCACCGAAAAAGTCGTGCCTCATGAACTAGACCTATAAAATATTGGCATTCCAATTGTTAGACGCCACACTTTATGCTCCGTCAACGAAGTCATTATTAAGACCATATTAATTACGTACTCCCATTGACCAAGTTATGCATTAGCCATTATTAAGATCATATATTATTACTCTTATTGAGCAAGTTTTGATCTAATAATGGAAAGTCAACACGATGCATGTTACCTGAAAAATGGCGCACCAAGTGAAGCTTACTATTATTCACTAATTTGTAAGCATATTATTGAACGGAAAAACAAAATGAAATAATCAATTTCTCGATCCTTAAATCTCTTGTAACTCTACATTAGTCGATAGAGAAGGTCAACTGTGTGCTAGCAGGAATCGGCCAAGTTGATGGCCATTTCGTTGACTTTTAATTTAAAGAATCTCATCCTTATTTAATGGGGAAACCTGCAGCGAACAATATTAGTGCACTTGATAAACTTACACTATCGTATAATAGCTTGCAAATCATACGAGAGATGTAAACTACACTAGACTAACCAGAACCGGTCATGACAATATCGGGGCCCAAGCAAACTTTGAAAAAATGTCTCATTTCATTCTTTTTTTTCTTTGAGTTGCGCCACGCGCCTACGCCACACACAAATTTCTGCAAAAGAGACAATGACTTTTCTCTTATTTTTTCCCCAAACAGAAATATTTTTTAATTAGTCTAATCCTACCCCTTTTAATTCCAACGTGTTGGGTATTGTAAAGGATTTTTTTATATTATTTTGCAGAACTAGGATTTTTCATGCTAGAAAGCCCTCGTTTTACATATTTATATACTAGGTTTTTTTTTTTGTTTTTTCTTTTTTTAATTTGGGGGCCCCTTAGGAATTGGGGGCCCAAAGCAACGTGCCGCAATTACTCAGGGTCGGCTCTGAGGCTAATCATGTGTGATAAGTTCAATCTAGCTATCGTTGGCAAGAAAATTTGAACCTGAGTCAATGACACAGACTCACTTGCACCAACCGATAGGTCATCAATGGCGGGAATATGATTTTTTTTTACATGTATATGAAGTGGAATAAAGGTTTTATAGATGTTATACCCCGTAAAATAATATATTGGATGATCCTGCAACATTGATCTACACATAATGACACACACAAGTGTACTTAGTGGGTGGTTTCCTTTTTATGGATCTATGGTACGAGACCACCCGGTATTACATTTTATAGACCGTGGAAATAATTTATAGAACTCAACAAATTACAAGATTGTTTGGCTTAAATATGCTGCAACTTTTTGACATTATTTTCTAACACACCAAAATTAACTATATTACTGTTAAACACAGTAAAATTAATTATACTACAATGTAACACATTAATATTGTTATATTAATCTCTCACACAGTAATATTAATACAACAAAGTCATTATTATTGCGTAATAGAGTAATATTAATATGTTGACCAACCGTTTAACAAAGATAAACATAATAAAAAGTCAAAAGAATTAATATTACTGTGGTTGACAGGAATATTACTGTAACAACAATAATATTACCGTTAACCACAGTAATATTATTGTGTTTACAGTAATATTACAATAATAGACAGTAATATTATTACGTTACTCCGTCAACAACTCAAACAAAAACAAAAATCACAACAAAATAATAATATTGATGTGGTTGACAGTAATATTATTGTGTTTACATTTATTTTACTGTCAACGGCAGTAAAATAATTACGTTGACTTGTCAACAAATCAAACAAAATTAAGAAAAAAAACTATACATTTATATAAATGTACTATCAACGACATTTACAATTACGTTAATGTACTGTCAATGAAAGTATATGAAACACGTGGATTATTTCCACATTGTATTTTTAACTTTCTTATTTTTTAAACTAAATTTTAGTTATGGAATAAGTAGTGCTTAGTGGGTTAAGTATAGTGCTTAGTGGGTTAAGTATAGTGCTTAGTGGGCTAAGTAGTGCTTAGTGGATTTAATTGTGGATTTTATTCTAACTTCCTAACTAACCCACTAACCCATTTTCTTGAGTGCTCTTGTGGTTGGTTTTCTTGCAGATCATGGGCTAAGGAGTGGAAGCTTGAAATGTCTATAAATACCGATTTCAATACTCAATGAAATTATCGATTCTACGAAATAAAAAACCGAGAGCTGAAAAGAATACATGAGTGTATTAGAGTGGTTTTAGAATCGGTCGTTTGTACTCTTCATGAGTATAATCTTTACGTACTCCTTATGAGTACATTCTTTACGTACTTCTCATAAGTACATTCTTTGTAGTCTAGATTGTACAGTATACATGTTTCTAGACTTGGTTGTAAGAATGATCAAGATAGTGATTCATTCATAAGTTCTTTACGTACTCCTCACGAGTACATCTTTGAAATCTAGAATTTTTAATATTTTTCTTTTAGTATCTAGATTTGATTGTAAGAATGATCTTGAAAAAGATTCATTCATAAGGAAGAAGTTTTCGCACCTCTTCTGTTTGTATTCTCAGAATACTGATTTTAATATATTTTTCCGTCCTGTAAAGGGCAAGTTCACAAGTCTTTACTTGTGAACATTTTTAATTCTGAGTACTGTCTTTTAATCTTTATATTTCTGCTGCCTGTTGTCTCAAGTGTCACAACATTTCAGATAACATCTCTGTATTATACGAATTCGGGACCATAAATTCTTTCAGTATAATTACGTTAATGTAATGTCAGTGACAGTATAATAATTGTTAATGAAAGTACAATTACGGTCTATGTTTAGCGGCGGGCGTAAAAAAACGGGAACAAAAAATTCGAAAAAGTCAACGTAAGAAACTGGCGGCGGAAAAAACATACCAGAAAAAAAAATCGAAAAGTCAACGCCTGAAACCGGCGTAAAAAAAATAATATCTGAAAACAAAAGTTAAAAAAAAAAAAAAAGTCAAAATTGGATTTTTGTGATCAAAATTGATTAAATTGGGGTTACAACTAAGAATTTGGTGTAAATAGTTGGGGCTAATTTTGTCATATTGTTGGGTGCTAAATACCCACACGCAAGTGCACGTATCGCAAACAAGTAGTAAAGTAGACTCGTGAGAGTCGGATGTCGATCCCACAGGGAATACGCAAATTATTTAATCCTAAGTACCAAATTTTAACAATTACGATTTTTATCCAGCCTACGCAAGTTTGTCAAATTAATTAACTAAATAAATTAAACTAATTAAGAAAGCAATTAAACACGAGAAAATATCAATATAAAACGGATCTAGGATTTTATCTTCCCCCTATGCGATAATTCTTCACCCAATTAATTCCCTATCATGCAAGTTATGATTCCCGATTATTAACCCAAGACACGAAATTACTCATAACCAGCTGTCGCTGTATTATAAGTCTATTATTCATAAAAGATTCACTATATGTCTATGCAAACCTAGTATAAATAAAGCATTAAATAACAAGTCTCGTAAACGTCTACCTAAGGTATTATCTATATGTCTACGATAATACATGCAATTGACACACTCATCCGGTGAAAACTACTCGAAGGCTCTTCTATCCCTGTTCTAATTATTAAAACGATATGTCAATCAATTCTAACAATAACCAATAGCAACATAAATTAGCTACGTTCATGCGCTAAATAAGATCAAAATAGAAGAAATAATCGAAGAATTAAACTTGCATAAAAGTAGAAAAAGAGGTTCGAATTACCACATAGGGTTCAAATAAAATCCTAGATTAAAAACTTAACTACTCGTAATTCTTATGATAAACAAAATAAAAATAAAAGAAATAAGAAAAACTATGCTTGAGTCTTCGTTGATCTTCGTTCTTCGTGTTTTGTGGTGTAAAATTTCGTGCTTATGGTGTAGAGACTTGTTGCTTTTATAGGCTTTTCTTGATAAGGAAGTAGTGGAAACCTAATAGGAATCAATTTCCGCCACTTTCCCCCATCAGGATTTGTTCGTCAATTTGTGCCATGTTGAAATTAGCTTTCCAATGCCGTCAAAATCACCTAATTCGGAGTTCGTATGAGAGAGATATGCTCGAAATTGTGGAGACTGTCAAAGCTGTGGCGAGATTCCTTCTTCCAATTTGATTTGTTTCCTTATTTACAACTTTTTCCTTTCTTTTTGATCTTTTTTCCTTCATGGACACCTAATTCTCGTTTTTCACCTATAAAACACAAAACAATCAATTAAAGCACAAATATAATTAAATCTAAACAAAAGATCCACGTAAAGTAAACATATTGAGTGTAATATCTACACTCAACACATATACATTAAATTTTCCTTTATTTATAATATATATTAAAATGATGAACGTAAAAGATATAACCCATAAACCTAGAATAATAAAGATGTTTGTGAAAAAAAAAAACGCCTATTAAAATTTAGGATAGATTATAGAAACATATCCTTCAAATATGACTTAATTATTAGAAACCAACTAAATAATAATTCATAAGTATAATCTTAATTATTAGAAACCAAATTTTATTTCTGCATGCAGAAAAAACAAATCCAAAGAAAACAAACAGTAAAACGGAGACGACGACCCCTCGAGAAATCAATGGGAAGCAATCGAATTACATTATTAAACAATCAATATTAACCGGAAAACACGCACAGGATCGAAAACACACACACACACACAAACAACAAGAACAATTGATCAACATGAATTCAAACATTAGTATCGAAACATGTTTGCCACTGCATATGAGTTATTTTTAGCCAGTTGCAGCCGAAGTTGAATCATCGCCATCCGATTTTGTGCGTTGATAGTCGCAATCATTAATTTCTCTGCTTCGGTTGTCCCCTCCGGGTATTCCTCTGTTTCCTCCTCCTTCTCTTCTTCTTCTTCTTCCTCATCTTCTTCTTCCTTTTCTTCTTTTTTCACCGGTGGAGCATCGGCAGTAAAAGCGCACTGTAAATCTGTAACAAAATTACAGTCTTTACAGAAGTAAGACCAAAACTCTTTCTCTATTTCCCTCTCGCACACTTCACACATCACACCACTGCGGTCGGCAGGCTGCGGTGTGTCGTGGCGAACTACAAGTGTGTGCTCGTGCGCTTTAGAATCGACGGTTTCAGGCAAGAAAGCGCACTTCACATGGAGCCTGAACCTGGTGCATTCGTCGCACCGGAACGAAAAGCCCTTGATTTCTTCTCCGCATGCGCTGCACTCGTAGTAAATACTGTAATACGGTGGCTCCAACAGGAGATTGAGTTTGTGGTCATGGTGGGAGTTGCGTTGGAGTTCTTCCGGCAAATCGAAACACGACTTGTGGAGAGAGAACTCGCAGTCGCGTTCTGGGCAGGTGTAGGCTTCTTCGCCGGCGGTAAATTTTTGCTCGCAGCCTGAGCATGTTTTCTCGTTGGAATATTCATCTTCTGTTGGTTTCGCTATTTCGGAGAGGCTTAAGGCGTGAGTGTGGGCCGGGTGGCTACGCAAGGGTTGCGAGTTGTAATTATTGGGATAGATATTATGCGCGCTGGCGCTCTGTTGCTTCACTTCCGAAGTCACACAGTCCAGATGGGTCCCGAAATCGCACTTACGACAATAGTACACCCACGCCATCTCGTCTATCAGGCTCATACAAACATCGCACGTGAAAGTCACCTCCCTATTCGCCGCTGCCCGCGACGAGTAGTATAGAGTCAGCGTGTGCTTGTGGCCCGGACACACCACCTTCTCCGGCGTTTGTGGAATTGAATCGGGTGGATTTTGTGGAACTGGAATTGGCGTTGTAATTGGATTAGGAGGGGTGAAATTGGAATAAGGGTTGTTTGGATTAGGGGGATAACCAGTGTTTTGAGGAGGATACGTTGGATAAGCATTAGATTGGATTGGAGGAGGATAGATATTGGGATTATAATTATGCGCAGGATTAGAATTAAGATTAGGATTAGGAACAGAGGAATGGAATAAATGTGGATTGGGATTAGTAATGGGAATATTAAGGGCACAATGAACATGAATATCGAATTCACATTCGGAACAACTGTAGGAGAATCCATCTCCATCAAGGTTGCACGAATTGCAGGAAAAAGAACCGGAGGGGTAAGTAGGAGAAGGCATCAAAGTAAGAGGATGAAGGGGGTGAGACGGGTGCTTGAGAGACCGTTCGGAACGAAAGCAGTGTTCGTGGAGGAAGTAACTGCACTGCCAGCAAACGTAGACGTTGCCTGAGCCGGCAGATTTGCAGCCGGAGCAATGAATTTCAGATCCTTGAACAACCTGATGGAAAACCAGGGCGTGTTTGTGGCTGAAATGTCTAGACTCCATTTCCCTCTCTCTTTTTTTTTTGTTTATCTCTCTGTATTTAAAGGGTACAAGATGAATGTGTGCTTGATATATTTATACAGTTTTTGATACCGTATCCGAAACAAGTTTAGCAAGTGGGAACTCTTAAACTAATGGTTAGTGCACTATATTATGGTTTAATTGATTTGTTTATTTAACAATAATTGTCATTAGAAAACTAATAAACCATAATAATTAAACTAGAGTTTATATTTAAGTTCACTTTTGTTATTTAAAAAATTTCTCCCTCTTCATTATTTTGTACATTTTTTCCTCTCACCAGAATTGGAGCAACCATCGCTACACTTGGAAATATAATTAAACCATAATTGTGAGACACGTGCAGTGGCCAGTTCAGGAATTTGGTACAGGGTGGGCTTAAATTTTCGGGGGTTCGGGAACAGCGCCCCTGAAAGAAATTTTAGAGTTTGTTTTTACATTAATTTCGATTTTGGGTGTGCTAATCAATAAAATTTGGGACTTTTTTGCATTAATTTAGATTTTGAGTAGGCTAATTGATAGAAAAATAGGGCTTCTTTTGCATTAATTGAAATTTTGGCTGGCTAATTAATAAAATTTGGATGGGCTAAATAGATATATAGTATAATATAGGGGGAAATTGTAAACTGAGGGTGGGCTTGAGTCCACTCTTGCCGTGGACTCACCCCTGGACACGTGTCACGAGGAGGCACACCCGGTTATAATAACTGGTGTAGCATCCAAGAAGCTGGACAATGACCCCGTCCACCCCAACTTATATTGTTGCCTGTAGATGAGTAGTTCACAAACCCCGAGCGATGTAAATCGCACCAAAAAAGCCGTGCCTCATGAACTAGACCTAGAAAATATTGGCATTCCGATTGTTAGACGTCACACTTTATGCTCCGTCAACGAAGTCATTATTAAGACCATATTAATTACCTACTCCCAATGACCAAGTTTTGCATTAGTCATTATTAAGACCATATATTATTACTATTATTGATCAAGTTTTGATCTAATAATGGAAAGTCAACACGATGCATGTTACCCGAAAAATGGCGCACCAAGTGAAGCTTGCTATTATTCACTAAGTTTTAAGCATATATTATTGAAAGTCAACACGATGCATGGATAGTCAACACGATGCATGTTCTCGATCCTTATTTTTTGGGTAACTCTACATTAGTCCATATAGAGAAGGTCAACTATGTGCTGGCAAGAATCTGCCAAGTTGATGGCCATTCCGTTGACTTCTAATTTAAAGAATCTTATCCCTATGACGGCCATTTCTTTTTACATGTATATGAAGTGGAATATTTATCTTTCAGGGGAAAAAAAAGTGCATTAAAAGTTTTGTAGATGTTATACCTGATGAAATACACTGGTGATTCTGCACCATTGATCAATGTATAATAACATTACACCCTTGTGTATGTGTATTTATTGAGTGACTATTTTTATGGATCTATGGTACAAAACTACTCGGTGATTTTCACCCAGTGTAGCAATTACATAGACCGTTGTATAAATTAATAGAACTCAACGAATTACAAGATTCTTTGGCTTAAATGCTGCAAGCTTTTCACAATAGTTTCTAGCATTTGAAGAGTTTTTAAGTGGTTTAAATTAAGGGCAAATTACGACCAAACCCCTGAGGTAAAAGTCAAATTATGAAAAAAAATCCCTCTTGTTTGGAAAATTACAACCACTCCTTTAACTATGTATTTTCTTACATTTTTATTCTTACAGTATCAAATTTACCTACTAAAAAAAGGAATTTTTTCGTTAGACAATACATAGCCGAGAGAGTTGGTTGTAACTACCCAAACAAGATATGTGTTTTTGTAATTTAAACTTAACTTATTAGCCTGGGTGGCCGTAATTTGACTTACCTTAGCAGGTCGCCGTAATTTGACCTAAAAATAAATATACACTATTTTTTTGTGGCAAGTTGAAAATAATGAACTAAAGTATAATTGTTATTCGCCTATTCAATAATGATCAATATCATATGCAACGACCAGGTCATGATTTCAGCTTCATGGCTGGATCTACAGTAACATACTGTGTCGTGGTTACGTTGTTGTCCGTTCCATTTTCTTTCTTTTTGTTTTAATTTTCTAGTTATAGAATCTTATTATATATATCTCATAAATAAGTATATCAAGCCCTCCGAGAAATGAAAATTACGAAAACCCCTCTAAACTGAAGCTAAATTATGAAAAAAAGCACCCGTCTATCCGTAATTATTAAAATTCCTCTTATCTTTATTTCTGTTTTACATTGATACCCCTAGGTTGTGATTGTTAATGTAAATTTTTTTATTCCAGGAAATATCCCCTGAAAAAGGCTGATATAACCCTGCAGACGGCGACAGATTGAAGGTAGCCATGTATATGTTTAAAAAATTGCATATATATGCTATGATGATTCATATTAGCAATGTGATGTTGAAGAAAAAGACGTTATTGTAAAAGGTATATCAAGGTCACCAACAATTAACAGACTACTCTTATGGTTAGAATCAACATTTGTCGGGTATATTTTTTCTAAAAACAAAAAGATTACGTGAAATATCACATTGTACAGGAGTTGGTGTAAGATGGAATAAAAAAACAGGGGCATTTTAATAATTAAGGATAGCAGGGAGTGTTTTTCATAATTTAGCCTAATTTCAGGGGTTTGCAATTTACCATAATTGTACGTTAAGTCCACCCCTGCTTATAATGTTTTCTATAAATAAAGGGTAAATTTCACTTTTCCCTCTTGTATTTTGATTCATTATCACTTTACCCCACGTTACTCTTGATTGCATCGATTTGCTCCCCATACACTTGAAAAATTGTCTCAAAGTGGCCCTTGCTGTTAGTTGTCAGACATTTAACCTTAACACCGTTTAGTGTAAGCTCTGAAAATACAAAAATGCCACCCCTCGCAGTTTAAACAATTATTAAATAAACAAAAATAAAAAATAAAAAATTCAAGACGACGAGAAAGCATAGTCCACGACGACAGCCATTTTTTTTTACATTTTTTTTCATAATTAATTAAACTGGGAGGGGTTGTTTTTTGTAATTTTCAGACTTAGATCAAACGGTGTTTACGTCAAAGATCTGAAAACTAACGGCGATGACCACATTGAGACAATTTTTCAAATAAAAAGGGGCAAATCGATGCAATCGAGAATAGAAAAGGTAAAGCAATATATAGTCAAAGTACGAAGGAAGGCAGAATTTACCCATATATAAATGATAGATTATAAGTAATGTTCATTATTTCATTAACTGTAGGGGCTAGATTTAAGCAACTATTTATAGCAAACGAATGCCAATTACTCGTCCATTTAGTTTTTACATTTATAAAGGAGCAATCACAGTATTTATTGGATACATTCGCTTTTGTAAATAGTTCACAAACTAGAGTCGACCAACGAATATGGTCTAAGAGGCCTGCGTCTTGGACCTAAAAAAAATGAATTTTTAGGGGCCTCCAAATAATAATTAACTCTTGTGTATAGTTCCTTCATTTATTAAGTGGCTTTGGATGGGCAAGTTACGGACACCCCATAAGGTATGCTCGAATTATAAAAAAATTTCTCATGTTTGTATAATTACGTACATTCTTACAGTGTAAAAATTTATTTACTGTATGAGGTGTTTTTTCGTAAGATAATACATATATAGTTGAAAGGGGTAATTGTTATTATCCAAACATGAGAAGATTTTCATAATTTGGGCTTACCTCAGGGTGGGCGTAATTTACCCATTTTGAATATAAGAAGAAAATGTCTCCAAAAAAGCACAATAATATTAGTATTTTATTGTTATATAAAACAATTGTACATCCAACAAGATTACTGTACGTATATTTTTTTTTTGTAATATTATATTACTAAAGAAACCTCTAAAATGCCCAACTATAAGATTATTTTCTTCTTGGTCCAAACCTTGTAAATTCAACCAATTAATTTATATCAATTTATTAACTAATTGAATTATTATATATCATATAAATGTATAAAAAAAATAATTTAACATTAAAAATATAAAAGGCATCATTTTTTTACTCCAGCGTGAGGCCTTTTAAATCCCGAGACTAGCCTGATATATATAAACCACACGAGAGGTATAAATTGTCCAGAAGAAATCGCATTCGACGATAAAATGTTAATACGGAAAGGGTCATACTCGAGTCCGTCAACTATGAATACTGCGACTACGTCAAGTCCGTCAACTATGAATACTGCGACTACGTCAATTACTATATATATTGATCAAAGCGTGTTACCAGGAGAATCGCGCTGAGTGAAGCTTATGGTTAGCATATGATATATCAACTTTCAAATACTTTAATTAAGTTATTTCTTTGTTTTTTTTGGAATAATTAATTGGGTAAATTTCACTTTTCCTCTTGTACTTTGATTGAATATCATTTTATCCACTTCTACTCTAGATTGCGTCGATTTGTCCCCCTATTCTTGAAAAATTGTCTCAATGTGGCCCTTACTGTCTGTTTTCAGATATTTAACCTTAACACCGTTTGATCTAAGTCTGAAAATTACAAAAAAACCACCCCTCTCAAATTAAATAATTATTAAAAAAAATAAAAGAAAAAAATTTTTGGCTGGCATGGACTATGTTTTCTCGCTGTCTTGATTTTTTTTATTATTTAAACTGGGAGCGATGGCGTTTTTGTAATTTCAGAGCTTAGATCAAACGGTGTTAAAGTCAAATGTCTGACAACTAACAGCGAGGGCTACATTGAAACAATTTTTTAAAAGCAGAGGCATATCGATGCAATCGTGAGTAGAAATAAGTATAGTGATATCGAACGAAAGTACAACATAGAAAAGTGGAATAATATTAATTATTTTAATTGACTTAAAAATGATTGGACTTTGGCAAGTCAGTCAACTCTACCCTTAATTTTCGGGTAAACGCACATAGAGAATGTCAACTGTGTACTGGCACGAACCTGCCAAGTTGATGGCCATTCGGTTGACTTTTGATTCAAAGAATCTCATCCATCTCATCTCTATGGCATTTTTTGTATCTATATGATGAACTTATGAAGTGGAACAAATAAATTATCTTAAAAACAAAAAAATAGTGGAAACAAACAATAGAACTTAAAATGTTTACAAGATTGTTTGGCTAAATTACAATGTTTTCTAACAATTTTAAGAGTTTATATATGTTTAATTACATATATGTTAGATAAATATCTTGTGAATAACTTAATAATAATACGAGGGGTAAATAGCAGTTAAACCCTCTGTGCTTACAAGCTTACGTAGATGACCCCTTATGTTCATAATATGAACACATAAATCTTTGTGGTTGATAGAGGTAGCGGCTGTTAGTTTTATTCGTCAAAATTAACCGCGCGTGTCAAATGTCATATACTACGTTTTTGCTGATCACCGCCTCGTGCTTACAATTTTTCTTCAAAAATATTTTTTGCAGATGACCCTTTGAAGTATGACCGCGCGGTTAGGTTTGACAGAAACATTAAGGAATGCTACCCCATCAACTACACGAGGGTTATGAGCTGATACAACAAGCGCAAGGGGATCATCTGCAAAAGCTTGTAATCACAGGGGTTTAAGTGATATTTATCCTATTTAAAATTATAAAAAGTTCCTTCAAATACGTCTTAAACAACAAAATCAATTAAATATATTCGATTATAAATACCATCTTAATATTTATTTTTACTTTGCAAATTAATTCTAACTGCAAAATGTAATTAGTTGTTCGCGTTTTCTTAAACTAAACTCAATTTTACATATAGACATTTTCTAATTCACCGTAAAATTTAGTAAATAGCACTTTATGATCACAAGGTTTTACAGATGACCCCTTTTGATTGATGGGTAGTTTCCGTCAATTTTGCCTTTAAACTTATTCGCTTGTGTCAAACGTATATATACCGTACCACTACACCACCCATTACCAAAATACCATCTCATATATGATTCAAAAAAAAAATTAATAATAATAATTAGTCGTATAAATTAAATACCACCTACTAACTCAATAATGTACACTAAAAAAATGATCTATTTATAAAAATCACATCCCACAAAAATTTCTAAGAGAAAAAAAAAATAAAAAAAATGAAACATCTTACAGATCATTCCCATGACCTAAAACCCTACGATTCATCGTCATCGGCTAAGCAAGAAGATGAAGAGATTGTTATCTGCTCGGTCTGCATTCTACAGCTATCATCCTCCGATGCCTACGCCTGCACGAAAACCGACTGCAAATTCATCCTCCATAAATCGTGTTTCGAATTACCGCACAAGTTCAAGCACAAATCCCACCCGGACCACGTTTTCACCCTACTCTCCGAGTTGCATCCCAGCAGTACTACTAGCCTTTCCTGCAGTGCGTGCAGTGACGCCGTAACCGGGTTCGCGTTCCAGTGCGACAGCTGCGATTACAAGATGCATGTGAAGTGCGCTTTATTGCCCGAAACCGTGGAGTGCAGAGCCCACGAGCACAAGCATCTTGATCTGTACTATTCGACGTCGAAAATTCGTTACGAGGAGTATTCTAATGTCTTCTCCTGTGACGTGTGCGATGGTGACGTGGCGGAAGGGTATTGGACGTATTACTGTAAGGAGTGCGATTTCGGTGCGCATTTGGATTGCGCCACGGCGGCCACCGGTGAAGCTGGGAAGAATGGAGAAGGGAAAGGAAGAGAAGGCGGTCTTTGTTTTTTCGGTTTGATGTCTAAGTGTTTTTGTTTGCCGTAGAATTTATGTCGAGATTCGTTCAATTAATTTTTTGTTTAATTTTTTTCATTTGGAAATAATGATGAGGTAATTATGTTGTTAATTGTTCTTCGTAATTATTTGCAGTTTAGTTTTTTTTTTTCTTTTTTAGTGTAATGTTGGATTTTTTTTTTGATAAATATATTTTGTTTCGTGTTTAGTCCGATCCATGCCAGTGAAATTGTGAGATTTGTGACGAAACGAAACTAATTAAATCAAATAATAATCGAACAAATATTTGTTAGTAGTCCGATCCATACCGTACCATTGATAAAATTGGATGAACCAGTAAGAAGAAATAGAACGTGAAGTATATGAAAACGAAGACAATTGAAAAGGTCAGTGAGGAGTTTAATTCCTCCAAATTAATAACAAAATTCTCAAGGTAGAAAACAATAACGGTAAATAATGAGAATATATTTTTATCCTTTTTAGTGTAAATTACAAAATTCCCCTGAACTTAAGCTAAATTACGAAAAACATCTCCACATATCCGTAGTTACCAAATCCCCCTGATGTTTGTTTGTTTACGGTATGTTTTCTCACGGATTTTTTAACTACATGGAATATTCCCCCAAAAAATGCCTATTCTACCCCTGCAAATTAAACTCGATATTTAATTTCTTCATGGTACTTTTTAAAGGCAAAAATTACCCTCAGAAGGCCTTTACACAGAATTCAGATTTGCTCACCCTCCTTCGACCACCGCCGCCAGCGTCCCTTTCCCCAAAAAGATCATCTTCATCTTCGTCCTCTACATGCCAACCTCCGCCCCTGCCGCCATCGGAATTCAGATCTGCTCATCCACCTTCGACGAAATAAAAAGAAAGATGAGGGAGGAGAGGAAAAATTGTGTGTAATTTTTTGTTCTTAGAGGGCATTTATGCCTTTATACGTCAAAATTTCCTTCACCAAACGCACTAGCCGCGAGTGCGCAACACAAACTCGAGCTGGGGGGAAATGTGTTTGTACCTTGTGAAATTGCGCACATACAATGGTGAATAGATCAAACGGTTGAAAATTTTTGCTTTTGCCAAGTTGTTATACTTCTTTGTTGACTTTTAATTAAGGGGATCTTATTTCGGCTTACGAGATTATATACCTTGTGAAATTATACACCATATAGTTTTACATCCGTTAGCACACATACATATAAGTGTTTGTGTTACTATGTGTAGATTTACTGTTTAAAAATCTGCAACAAATAATAATAATAATAACATACAACTTGTTTATTGGCCCTTTGAATGAGTATAATACGTATTGGCCGTTAGATGTAGCAAGAAGTTGTTGAGGAAATGTAATGTAGCACGAAATTGAAAGAATAACAGACTAATATTATATCTTAATTAATTAGCCTGCTTAATAACTTTCCCTATTGGTAGATCAATGAATTCGTGACCCAGTCTATAATTTTGACGGAGTCTAATTAATTAGTTCGTCTCCACTAATTAATTTTGAACGGTGTCTAATTAATCTCTAATAAGTATAATAATCTAATTAATCGCAACTTTGGTGTAGATATGATTTTGATGAGAAACCAGAGAGCAAATTAGAAAAAAACAATGAAGCATGTTAATAAGCGGCATTTCAGCCACGAGCACGTGCTGGTACCCCTTGAACCGGACGACGACGGAGAAGAAATCACATGCAACGGGTGCAAAGGTGAGATAGACGAGCAGTTCTACGGTTGCATAGACTGCAAATTCTGCCTCCACGAGGATTGCGCGGAAGCTCCTCGGTCCATGGAGCACCCGTCTCATCCCTCGCATCCATTGGCCCTCCACGCAACGCCTACCTACCCGAGCCAAACCTTTTGTTGCGCTGCATGTGGAAAAGTAGGTAAAGGCTTCGGCTTCAGCTGCGCCCATTGTTCGTTTGATCTACATGTTTCCTGCTCGGATATGGCTCCAACTCTTTTTGACGAAGATGAACATCCGCACGGACTCAAACTTGTTTGTGAACCGGATAAATTAACCGCCGAGCTCGTCTGCAATAAATGTTGTCTTCCGAATGAGGGTTATTGGGTTTATTATTGCGAAACGTGTAAATTCGCCGTCCATGTAAGTTGCATGTATTCAGATGATGATGATGATGATAATGATGGAAAAGAAGAAGAAGAAGAAGAAAAAAAAGAAGAAGAAGACCAAAAAAAAGAAAAAGCAATTAATTCAGAGATTTTTGATAATGAGGAATTCTTTTCGCTACCACCGCCTTCATCGCCATCGTTATCATCATTGTCAATTAGTCGTCGAATACAGGGAACCGAGAGGGAGAAAGACCAGATTGCCCGACAGTTGCTGCGCGACGCACTTAATGCGGCTGCTGACTATGTCGGAACATCACATACAAGAAGAAGAAACAAATTCCCCTGATATATATATATATATATACACACACATATATATATATATATATATATATATATATGTGGAATTCTGTTTAATAAGAATCTATGAGCAATAATATGTGATGAAATTTCCGGGTAAGAATTCGGTTGTGCCGCGCGTGGTGTTGTAATATTTATTATATTGTCGGTGTGATTGATCTAGTTCAAGGTCGAGTACTTGATGCATCAAAAAGAAAAAAGAGAGTATAATGATACATAAGGGTGGAATTTTTTTTTTACCAATTACCGATTATTACGGTATGTAAATCGAAGATTATCGAAAAAATATCACAGTAGAGGTTACAAAATTGGTACAGTATTAATACTGTACCGCAAATAATTGATACGGTAAGGGTATTACATTCTCCATATATATCATGGTAATATTGTATCGTACCATGCTTAGTATTATAGTGTAACTACGTATATACATAGGAATAAATTGTGCTACATACATGGCGTCATAAAATTACTTGCAATTTTTATCTCAACAAATATATAGTTAAATCTCTATAAATTAATACAGTCGGGACTAAGGAAATTCTATTAATTTAGCGAATTATTAAATTATTGAGTTAATAATTTAACACGTTTTTACCGAGTTGGGACCGGAAGAAACTATTATTTAATCGAGGTTATTAATTTGTCGAGTATTAATTTATCGAGGTTCTACTGTATAAACATATTCAAATAATATAAATTTATATACTACGAAATTCAAAAAAAACTGATAAGATTTCGTTTCAAACTTTAGCTTAATATAAGATAATATGGTAGATCATAACAAATTACAACTACGAAAAAATGCAAAATCAGCTATATATTTCAAAAACAAAAAATATACAAACATTATAAATGATTTATACAATTGGAATCAATAAACAAAAAATCCAATAAAATTGGAGTCGATCAACCTTAACCGACTACCAGAGCATAGTCGATTAGCTTAATCGACTATTGAACATGCACATAATCGATTAAGATTCCAGTCTGCACAAATTTCTCTACACGCGACGTCCTTCGCCCGATCCACAAAAAAACCCTAAATCTACCTCCCCATCGTCACCACACCGTCGCACCACACAAATATTCGACCAATCATTAACAAGAATAAAATAAATAATTCATACACAAATTAGCATTTCAATGTCCACAAAAACAAATACATTCGTCAATAATTTCTTTTGATTATCCTTCGATGACGAGTGCTTCCTCTTCTTTCTCAACAGCATGTTCCTCTTCTTCTTCCTCCACATGCCGACGGGGTGGAACACGTTGTTGAGAAAGAAGAGTGTTTCTCCTCCACACGCGGACGACGAGTGCTTCCTCTTCTTTCTTTCTCCATCTTCCGGCGGCAGCAGCGGGGAGAAGATAGCCGGAAAAAAACAGAGAAAAAAAAAAAAAAAAACAGATAAGAGAAAACATAGAAGAGGGAAAAGCTGGAAACGTGAAAGCGGCGGAATGAAAAATTACAAATAATATTAGGATAGTTTTGGAATTATGAAAATATCACATAGGTAAAATATTAACTAAGGGGGTTTTCTCTAATTATTTTTGGGAGGGGGTGTTTCCTTAACTATATTCCCTAGATAGGGTTTTTTCTCTAATTTTTCCTTTGTAATAAAAACATTATTCATAAAGAGATCCAAATAAAAAACTCATTTACCAATAAGTCCACACATGGTCCATATTTTTGTAAAAGACTAAAATAGCCCCTCATACTTTAATATGCTCCAATTTCATCATTAACTTAATTTAACGTCAATTTGACCCGAAATTTCACAAATTATTCAATTTGACCAAAAAAAAAAATTCAAAAAAAAAAAATTCAAAAAAACTTTTTTTTTGCCGCCGGATTCCGGCGTTGACTTTTCAATTTTTTTTTTCTTCCGGATTTTTTCGCCGGTCACCGGTGTTGACTTTTTTGTTTTTTTCCCTCTTTTTGTCACATTTTTTTTCGTTTAAACAACAATATTGCTGTGATTAACAGTAATATTAAGTATATTATTGTTAAACATAGTAAAATTAACTAAACTATAGTTTAACACAGTAATATTGTTATATTAATCTCTGGCACAGTAATATTAACACAACAAAACTCATTATTATTGTGTAATAGAGTAATATTACTATGTTGATGGTTCAACAAATGTAAACATAATAAAAAGCCAAAAGAATTAATATTACTGTGAGTGACAGTAATATTACTATAACAACAGTAATATTACCGTCAATCACAGTAATATTACAATAATAGACAGTAATATTATTAAGTTACTCCGTGAATGACTCAAACAAACAAAAAAATCCAAACAAAATAATAATATTGATGTGGTTGACAGCATTATTACTATAACAACGGTAATATTACCGTCAACCACAATAATATTATTGTATATACAGTAATATTACAATAATAGACAGTAATATTATTACGTTACTCCGTGAATAACTCAAACAAAACAAAAAACCCAAAAAAATAATAATATTGATTTTGTTGACAGTAATATTATTGTGTTTACAGTTATTTTATTGTCAACGACAGTAATATAATTCCGTTGACTTGTCAACAAATCAAACAAAATAAAAAAAATAAGAAAAAATAAAAAAATAATAATATTACGTTAATTTACTGTCAGCAGCAGAACAATTACATAAATGTATTGTAAACGGCAGTACAATTACGTTAACTAACTGTCATTGACAGTATAATTACGTTAATTTACTGTCAGTGACAACACAATTACGGTCAACGTTTAGCGACGGATGTAAAAGAAAAACAAACAAACAAAACAAAAACACAAAAAAAAAAAAAAACCCTTAAAAAAACACTAAAAAAAAGTCAACGCCGGAAACCGGTGAAAAAATCCGGAAGAAAAGAAAAAAAAAATCAAAAAGTCAACGCCGGAATCTGGTGACAAAATATTTTTTTTTTGAAAAAAAAAAGTCAAAATTGGATTTTTGTGGTCAAAATTGGATTTTTGTGGATAAAATTGATTAAATTGGGGTTACAATTAAGAATTGGTTATAAAGGGTCGGGGGTAATATTGGCATACATGAATGTTTCCTTTATTTATAAAAAATATTAAAGGGATATTGGTGAAAGAGATATAGTCCCTAGACCTAGAATAATAAAGATGCTTGGTTGGGGGATTTATGCACAAAATCCCCTAAAGAATAAATATGTAAATTTCATTTTCAACCCCATATTCACTAATTGTATACAAATCAGTAACCTACCAATAAATTTGAACTTAAGATCTTTATAAAATTTTATTTTATATTATACTTAGTAAACAAAATTTTGGAAATAAATATTTTTCCAATATGCACAATTATTAATTATACAAAATTCTTAACATATTTAATAAACATGAATATCTATATTAAATGACCTATAACTTTATTTAATAAAAAATGTACATGTAACTCAAGTGGTTTTCATTATATTTTTTTAAAAAAACAAACTTCATTAAATTAAATACTTTATATATATATATATATATTAAAGTCAATAATTATATTATATATAAATTAATAAACAATGGGATCAATCAACGTCATACATTATTCAATAGTATCGTTGTTCAGTAAATATGACCATATCAACAAAAATATATTTAATTCAATGCAAATTGTGTGTTGGAAATATTTTGATTTGAACTTGTGATCTTTCCCTATTGGTGAGCATATAACATTTGAGCCAGTCTATATATGTATGTATGTCATGTTTCCCACTTCTTTGTTGTTTAGAGTACAACAATCCATCCCTAATATTGATTGATCATGACTTACAAACTTCATATATATATATATATATATATATATATATATATATATATATATATATATATATATGAAAGCTGGTTTAGAATAGAGAAAGACACATAGAAAGAAAAATGGAGAGGGAGGAGAGTAATAATAATAATAAGCAGCATTTCAGCCACAAGCACATCTTGACACGCCTCCAGCTCGACGAAGTCGAAGAAATCACATGCAATGCGTGCGAATGTGACGTGGAAGAGGAGCAATTTTACGGGTGCACAGACTGCAAATACTTCCTCCACGAGGAATGCGCGGAAGCTCCTCGGTCCATTGAGCACCGATCCCATCCCTCTCATCCCCTTACCCTACACGCAGCTGCAACCTATTCGAACCAAAGCTTCATCTGCGATGCCTGTGGATACGTAGGGTACGGCTTCTGTTACAGCTGTGCGCATTGCTCTTTTGATCTCCACCTTTTCTGCTCGACTTTGCCTCATACTATCCCAAAAGAAGAGGAACATCCGCATGAAATCCAACTTGTTTGTGAACAAGAGAAACTATTAACTTCTGATATGATCTCCATTTGCTCCTTTTGTGATGCCATGAATACCGAATGTTGGATTTATTATTGTGAAACGTGCAATTTTGGATTCCATTTAAATTGCATGATCTCAAAAGTAGTTGAAGAAGAAGAAGAAGAAGAAGAAGAAGTAAATGAAGAAGAAGAAGAAGAAGAAGAAGAAGAAGAAGAAGAAGAAGAAGAAGAAGAAGAAGAAGAAGTTGGTGCTCGACCTGCTGATGCCGACTATGTTGCAAACCCTTGATCATATATATATATATATATATATATATATATATATATATATATATATATATATATATATATATATATATATATATATATATATATATATATATATATATATATATATATATATATATATATATATATGTGAGAACTGTATAGTCTGCTTAATTGCAGAACCCTGTATTTCTTTTTTTTTTTTTTGAATTGCCAAACAAGTATGTGAATAATAATAATAATAATAACAACGAACCAATATATTTGCCAATGCATTAGCCGCGTTTTTACGCTAACCTCCGAACTCATCCCCAGGCCGTACACCCTTTCCCGTTCTTGCGATGCATGTGGTGACCTTATAAACGCGTTTGCATATCAGTGCGACGAATGCGACTACAAGATCCACGTGGCATGTGCTTTACTGCCTGAAACTGTACAGTGCAAAGGCCACGTGCATAGTCTATAAAATAATATGTTTAGAATAATGAATTGTATTATATTTTCTACTATTACAAACTTCTATATATATACATAGGAGTTGACCAACTGTTACAGCTAAAATAGGAAATTACAAGATTTATGCCATAGGCTTAATGGAGAATAATACCCATTAATTACAAGAGGATTTGTGGCCTTGCTGCTGATTCTTGGAGAGATTATCGGATGATTGCAGCCTTATTTGGTGTAGATGTAACTGTAGGTTTATCATGCCCCAGCAAGATTGACTGTTCATTATGGACACCAATCTTGTTTCGATGATTGAGAAAGTGCGTACGAGCAAGAGGTTTTGTAAGAGAATCCGCAAGTTGATCAGATGTGTGTATATGAGAGACTCGAAGTCGGTTAGCAACAACTTGTTCTCTTACGAAATCGAAATCGATAGCAATGTGCTTCATGCGAGAATGGAAGATAGGATTCGTGCAAACATAAGTAGCACTCACATTGTCACAATAGATAACAGGTACATTAGGCACTGAAACTCTTAATTGTTGAAGCAAATTCATGATCCAGTTTAGTTCCGTTGCAGAAGATGCGACGGCTCGATATTCAGCCTCGGTTGATGATCTAGCAACCGTTTTTTGCTTTTTAGAGCTCCAAGAGATGGGATTTGCACCAAGAAAAAGAACATGTGCTGAAGTGGAAGTTCGGTTTGTCGGATCCCCTGCCCAATTTGCATCTGCATAAGCATGAAGTGTTAGAGGCGAACTTTTCCGTATGAGGAGTCCATGATCAATAGTGCCAACAAGATAGCGAAGCAAGCGTTTAACGGTCGCCCAATGAAGCAAAGATGGACAATGCATGAACTGAGAAAGTTTATTGATCGCAAATGATAGGCCTGGACGAGTGAGAGTCAAGTATTGAAGAGACCCAAGAGTTTGCCGGTACAATGTTGTATCGGCAGGTGCAGAGCCATCATGAAGTTGAAGAGTATCCGTTGTAGCAAAAGGCGTGGCAACAGGTTTGGCTTGAGTCATATTGACACGTTGTAGAAGGTCGTTGATATATTTCCGTTGAGAAAAGAATAATCCAGCAGAGACTTTTATGGCTTCTATGCCAAGAAAATAAGAGATTTGACCAAGATCTTTGAGAGAAAATCGTTGAGAAATCACTTGGATGAAATCATTGACAGCGTCTAAGGAAGAGCCTGTGATAATGATATCATCCACATAAATAAATAAATATAGATTGTAGGTAGAGCTAAAAAACATGAATAAAGACGTATCTGAGTGTGCGTTAGTGAAACCGAGTGTGCGTTAGTGAAACCAGTGCTGAGCAAGAATGAACGCAACTCTTGATACCAAGCTCATGGAGTTTGACGAAGACCATATATCGCTTTCTTAAGCTTTTAGACATGATGGGGAAATTCTGTGTTGAAAAATCCCGGCGGTTGGTCCATGAATACCTCATCGGATAAAGATCCCTGTAAAAAAACGTTATTTACATCGAGTTGGCGGAGAGGCCAACCATTGGTAACAACAATTGTAAGCATTAACCGAACAGTAGCATGCTTAATAACTGGACTATAAGTTTCAGAAAAATCAATTGCGGGACGTTGATTGAAACCCTTTGCAACAAGGCGTGCTTTGTGACGGGCTATTGAACCATCGGGATGCCTCTTAATCGTATAAACCCACTTACAACCAATAATATTTTGTGTGGAAGTTCTAGGGACAAGAGACCAAGTTTTATTTGAAAGTAAGGCATTATATTCCTCACACATGGCTTGACGCCATTCAGGTTTTTGTTGGGTTTATTTGTAAGTTGAGGGTTCACGGTCCGTGTTTATGGTAGTGTGGAGATTAAGAATTTCTCTAGGTTTAGTAATGTTGTGTTTGAGTCTGGTATTGTAATGGTGAGAAATAGAGATTGAAGGTTTTGTTACCAGTGAAGAAGTAGTAGCACCCTGGGATTGAAGCTGAGTTGCAGGCATATTGGTTTGCAAAGTGGCCGTCCTCAAAACACTTGATTCATTAAAAACAGTTTGTGGAGTAGGCTAAGATGTATGTGTTGGAAGAATCAGAGAGAGGGAATGGTAAATCTGAAGGCACATGAGGAATAATTTGTTGTGGTTTTTTATTTTCGTGAGAAAGCCAAGAGGTAATAGTGTAGTCTGTGTCGATCAATTTTTGTAGTGGAGAATGGGAATTTTGTATCAATAAATATGACGTGGCGAGAGATAAAGATTTTGTTAGACGTAGGATCAAGAAACATATAAGCATGGTGTTGGATAGAATAACCGATAAAGACACAAGGTCGAGAGCGTGGTGCAAGTTTGTGACTATTATATGGGCGTAACCAGGGGTAGCAAAGGTCACCAAATACCTTTAGTGTGAGGTAATTTGGTGATTTTTGAAAAAGATGATAAAATGGAGATATATTTTTGATGACAATAGAAGGCATCTGATTTATTAAATATGTAGCTTCTTGAAATGCTACTGACCGATATTTTAGAGGAAGTGAAGAATGAAAAAGAACATGTTGATGTTTACGTTCAGATGTGCCAACATGCTCAGGAGTGTGAGGTGGGAATTTTAGATGCTGGATGCCTTGTTTTGAAAGTAGATGACCGAGATTTATGGCTACACTGCCATCAGTGTATACGGTTAGAATTTTTTCAGAAAAGTATCTTTCAACTAAAGTTTTAAAATGAATAAAAACTGAAGTGACATCCAATTTGTGTTTGAGAGGGTAAAGCCAAGTATACTTTGAGAAATAGTCGACAAAGATCACATAATAGCGAAAATTATCAAAATAGCTAATTGGTGAAGGGCCCCAAACATCCATAAAAAGAGTTTCCAAAAGAAGTGAGCATTGTAATGTAGAAGAGCCAAACGGAAGTTTGTGACTTTTATTGCATAAGCTAGCATTACAGGAAGATGAAATATTATTCTTAGACATAGGCAAGGCATTAGAAGAAATAATTTGGTGGAGAACCTTGGAAGATGGGTGACCGAGACGATTATGCCAAAGGTAGATTGATGGTGAAAGGGAGTTAGATTTTTGTGCTATGCATGCTAATTAATGATGAGGATGGTCGAGAGAAATCAAGGGTAGAGGTAGGCCACTCGTAAACATTGCCCTTACTCCGGCCTCGCACCAAGGATGCCCTCGCAGCTAGATTCTTCACAAGAAAAAAATGAGGAAAAAATTCAATGGATGTTTTATTTTGAGAACAAAATTGAGAAACGAAAAGTAAGTTTTGTTGATAGGGGGTGCACACAAAACAGTATTAAGTTTGAAAGTGTTATTATGAGAATTAAGGGCAGTAGAGCCAATGTGAGTGATAGGAATGTTATTACCATCACCGACAATTATATCTTCATTACCACCATAATCGGAGTGGATAGCAACACTTTGTAAATCGGAGGTAATATGATGAGAGGCTCAAGAGTCGACTAGACAATCAGAATTGTTGCTCGTGGAATTGCGGGTAGCAAGATTTGCTTGTGGCCAATTGGATGGTGGAGGTCGTGACCGGCAATATTTTGCGACATGGCCTGCGTTGTCACATAATTGACAAACAGGTTGAGATTGCATTTGAATGCCAGAGTTGCGCCACGGCTGAATTGTGACACCCATTTTCTAATTACACTTACTTAGTAATTTAGAATATGCTAGCGGAAGACTTATAGAAAATAATGAGTGTGGAATGCTTGTTTTTTTTAAATCACCTTCTACCAGTAGAAAGTTGCGCATAAATTTTTATTTTAAAATCAGAGGAAGAGTGAACACATAATACTATATCATATACACTTCACCAAATATCACAAAAGAAACATGCATGACTAGATTATTGAAATTATCAAGAGTAAAGATTAGGAATTTCGGACAGATTTGGTAGATCAACTTAGAAAATTAATATCTATTGAACCCTTCATGAAAATACTTTGAAAATTTAACCACATACTCTAATATGGGTCGAAATTACTCAGTTAAAACAGTTTTAAAATATCATTAGTCATTTGAGAGAAATAATTAAACATATGCAACTGTACAGTTTAAAAATCCAGAACAGGAGAGGGAGCTTTGAAAATTATTTATAAATTCCCTACTGTTCTAAAAACTACCAAATTTTATACGAAAGTAGATAAGTGAGTTATGAACATATTACAAGTTAAATGGATTCATTTGAGTAAGAAAAACTTCATATATTGATGCATGTCCTAAAATGACTCAGCATGTGCACAGTTGCGGAAATTAATTCATAATAAATTCCTGACTTGTCCAAATGATGCAAAAGACCTACCAAAATAACCCTAACAGAAAGACCTATGACTCTGTAGAATTACATGCAATTCTAAACAGAAAGTTTATTTAATACGGATTATCGAACAACAGGGCAGAACACAACATATAATTAACCGATAAGCATTATATAGAAGTTTGGCAAAAAGAGGAAATCAAAATCCTAATTATTATTAGATGCAATGTTCTTACCAATAAGATCCCCCGAGGGGTGGAAGAGTACGATAATAGATATCTAAGACGGTATCGAAAGTCTTTAAAATTAAACTATATAAGTAAAACAATATGGCTAAATTAAGAGCACACAAGATCCACACGCCATCCATATGCACACATCCCTCGATCTTCGAACTCGACTCCAACTTTAGGACTCGTGCTCGGGATTGAAAGTACCTACAAGCATTTCAACACCTATATGAGTCTTTTGGACTCAATGAGAATTTCCGAAGAAATATCGAATACACATAAGCAAACAAGCATATATTTATGATATGTATATATGTATATATCCCATCTCGAATTACACATATACACAATAAAAACATTTCGATTTTACCTCAATCGTCATTTCATTGAGGAACTTTGCCAATTTACCTTTACCTTCTCGGATAACCTCTTAGACCTTCTCATTTTACCTCTTAGACCTTCCTTTCATCATTTCATAAGGAATAAGAGTAAATCCCTTACAAGGGAGTCGTCATTCTTTTACACACACATTCA